CTGTAGGTGGCGATCTCGATGTCCAGGCCCAGCTTGGAGTTCATCACCTCCTGGTACTCCTTGAGCAGGCAGGCCATGTCCTGCTTGGCCTTCTGCAGGGCCTCTTCCAAGCCAGCCAGCTTGCAGCGGGCGTCGTTGAGGGCTGCCTCACCCTGCTGTTCAGACTGGGTCACTGCAGCCTCCAGCTTGGAATTCTGGGGACCAAAAGAGAATAAGGTGGATTATGGTTCCTCGATCTCTCTACCTATTTCCTGGATTTGCTTATTTTCTGCAACACATCTGGGAACACCCAGGAAGAGAGTCTTTTCTCCTTTATCCGCTGGGTTTCCTCTGCTTGAGGGACCACAACCAGGGACTCTAGTCCTACATATGGGTCAGAGAATGAATGGGAGTTGCATGTTGTGCAGGCATTGACTGTGTGACCCTGTGGAGTCTCCCACCGTCTGTGATCTTGGACACAGGCTTAGCCGTACCTGGCACTTGGCGTTCTCCACCTCGGCCGTGAGCCTCTGGATCATGCGGTTCAGCTCGTTGATTTCCTCCTTGGTGCGGCGCAGGGTCTCGCCGTGCCTGATCACCGTGGCCTTCATCTCCTCGCACTGTGGGGGAAGCACAGATGCTCTTCAGGACACCAGGAATGACTGTGCGGCTTGTTCAGTGCTCAGCGTTTACAACCACACATAGCAGCCCTACTGATGCCACTCCAGTGACGGCTCCTTCCCTTCTCTTACTATGTTCCTTCAGAAGGACCTTCCTCAATTAAACTCAGAATCTCCAGACAAAAGACATACCTCTTTATGTCTGGGGAGATACTTACATGCTTCCTACTGCTGTATTTAATATACACCTCACACTCTCCAGTATCAAGAAGGTAGGTGTCCTTTGTCACTCACCTTGCTGCGGTACCAGGACTCAGCCTCAGCTCGGCTGCGGCTGGCGATGTCGTCATACTGAGCCTTGATTTCAGCGATGACACAGTCCATGTTCAGGTCCCGGCTGTTGTCCATCTTGACAACAACTGAGGTGTCGGAGATATGAGCATTGAGGACTCGAATTTCCTGCAGAAGGGAAGTGGCAGAACTTTGTTAACTCTGCAGCCCCTAAACCCACTACTGCCTGAATCCAATCTCCACAGCCCCAACTTGGTCGCAGGCCCTGCCCTATCAGACAGCAGCTGAGGCTGGGTTTCTGTCTGGGTCACATTCCCTCACCTCCTCATACAGTCGTCTCAGGAAGTCGATCTCCTGGGTCAGAGACTCTGCATTGGCCTCCAGGTCTGACTTGCGAAGGTAGGCGCAGTCCACATCCTGGAAGAGTGAGGAGTGTGTGAGCTCAGTGGACCCCTGGGGATCATGTCCCCAAATTTCCCATCACATGGAGACCAGGGGCAAAGAAGTCCCTAATTCCTGTTCCCATCCCAACTCTACCTTCTGACAATTCAAGACACACCCACAACCTCTCCGTCCCAGAACAAACCCCTTTTTGCCTTGGGGACATCTCATAAGCCTTTCCTACCTCCCACATGAGACATAATACCCTCTTTTCTTTTTACTGCCCTCCTCCCTCCAGGAAGCCTGACCAAACTGACATTCCCCGGCTCTGCCACCTTCTTCTTCCCCAAGCAGGCCTCCAAGATTTCACCTGACCACCTTTGGTTCTGCACCATTCTCCCCTACTCTGGGACTATGCTCTTGGTCAGACTCCCCAGAACACTAAACAGGACACTATTCCTCGAAAGAAAAGCAGAATTGGCCATGCTTTCACAGGACTCCAACCACAGGCCACCATCTCAGAAACAGGGAAGGGCAACCAGAGGCCAACTGAGCCATCTCCCCGCCTCAGCATAGTGTGTTTGTTGCTATGCCAAGGACAGTGTCCTTAGTCAAAGCTCTGGATGCACCATTCAATGACCTGAACCTCTGAGAATTTCCCATTTTGATTTAGAAATGCCTTTGTGCCCTACTGGGAGGCTGAGAACTTCCAGGGGCTCTGACAAAAGACCCTAACCTCCTGAAACCCCTCGTGTCTATACTCCCCGCTCCCCTGCTGCTCACCTTCTTCAGAGCCACAAACTCGTTCTCAGCTGTGGCTCTCAGAGAAACTTCCTCCTCATACCTGAGATAGAAGAGAACAGAGATGAGGTCACAGGAGGGCAGAACTCACACCAGGGAAGGAAGTGACATTACGACCCTTTAGATGCATCTGGTGCCCTGGTAGCCCTGATAAATCCTTTCTGGTCTGATTTGACACGTGTCTGTGATGTTTTATTTTTTTATTTTTTCTCTCTCTAGTTTGAAGGAAGGGACGGGAGTAATTAATCTGGGTACTCAGTCTTGTTCTCTATGGTATCCTGAGGGTCCCTCCAAAGATGCACTAGGACTCAGCTCCCAGCTGCCAGCCACCCAGGAAGTGCAACCCAGTCTCCCCTGACCTAGTGTCAGCCTTAGCTCGGTGTCCAGAGATCTCAGGAATAAAGATGCTCTCAGAACTCAGCACCCAATGCAGCAGCACACACACAGTCCAGCAGCTCACAACTGACCCCAGTGCTATAGCTGATGGGAGTCTGAGATCATGAGAAGAAGACCTCTGAGGCTGTGGACGCCTCCTCTCAAGGTTTCAGGAAGCACAGAAGCTACAGTGATTTTTCTCACAAAAAAGTAGCAGCAATACAGAGAAATCTCATGAGGGAATCATAGCCCTACTCTTAGGCAGGTAGCTGGGCAAGAAGTCTCCCACCTAAGTTGACAACTGTGTGTTAACTCAGTCTCCGTGCAAATTCTCATTGTTTAACCCAAGGTTGGTTTGCTTTCACTTCAGGCTGTTTCAAGTGGCCAGGCCCTAATCCCCAAGTTCACTCACTTCTTCTTGTAGCCCTCCAGCACCTCTCGCACGTGGTTGAGCTCTGAGGACAGCCTTCCGCTGTCGGCCTCCACACACTCGGCCTCCCTCCTCAGCGTCTCGATGTAGCCCTCAAACAGCGGCTCCAGGTTGCTCTCACAGCACTTGCGGCTCTGGTAGAACTGCCACTTGGTCTCCAGCAGCTTGTTCTGCTGCTCCAGGAAGCGCACCTGCCACAGAGTGGGGGGAACGGTCAGATGTCTCCTAATATCAGATGTCTCCTAGTGTCTTAAAGCTGAGGGCTGTAAGCTCACAAACCTGGGGCTTGAGAGTGATTAGGCAGAGCAAGGTAGGGAGAAAAGGTGATTTCTGGCACTTTCCTGTTCTGATCTATGTCTGGACTTTGTAATTTAGGCAGGGGCAGGAGAACATCAGTTACTGCTCCCAAGTTAACTGATGAGTCCAGGTCAGGAGCCAGATGGAGAGGTCAGCTCTCCCACTGTGATATGAGGGATGTTGACAGGCAAAATGCCCAGGTTCAGATTACAGAATGGGTTTCTACAGGTAGCTACCAGGGTGATGATACTACAAGCTATCTAGAGTTGAGATCAACTACCCTGGTCCTTCTCCATTCCATTTGAGAGTCCACACACCACCCACCCACCCATTCCTACTCCCTAAGGAGTACAGTCCTCAGCCCAAACATCTCTGGTTTCAGAAACAGTTGTTTATTCCTTCCCCAACTTCCTGAGCTCTGCCTTGTACTCCACAGAACCCAAATTCTGCATATCTGAAACTCTTAGCTATGTCTATCACCTATCAGTCTTGTACATGGATTGTTTCTCTGACATCAAATTGGAAATTCCATAGTCACATCTGATTCTGACTCCCCACTCAGTCACCAGATTGAGTCCCGAACATGAGTGGGTATGCAGGAAGGGTATGATCAAGGACACCCACCTTGTCGATGAAGGCAGCGAACTTGCTGTTGAGACACTTGATCTGCTCCTTCTCCTCATGCTTGACACACTGCGCATTGGGGTCGATC